CCTCCACCAGAAGTCGATAATTCTTCCATTATAAGGTACCAACAGGTCTTCTTATGGTAGACCAATCAAACTCTTTATAGAAGACCACTAGGTATTTTTATAGAAGACCAGAAAGTATTCTTATAGAAGACCAGAAGGTTTCTTTATAGAAGACCAGAAGGTTTCCCTATAGAAGACCAGAAGGTCTTCTTATAGAAGACCAGAATATCTTCTTATAGAAAATCAGAACAACTTATAAAAGCCCAGAAGATATTCTTATAGAAAACCAGAAGGTCTTCTTATACAACACCAGAAGGTCTTCTTATACAACACTAGAAGGTCTTCTTATAAAAGGTTTTTTTCTAAAAGTTCTGGAGATATAAAATAAGGTCTTGTAGAGTCCAGATAAGAGGGTTTAAGAAAGAGCGATAGTTGTTCCATATAGAAGATCAATAGGCCTGCTTTTTGGAAAACCAATAAATATCCTTTAGAGAACTAATAGACCTCAGGCCTCTTTAGGGAGATGAAAATTTCTTATAGAAAGTCAAGGCAAATTCTTATAAAAGATTAGGAGGTTTTATTATGGAAATAACGTTTTTTTGTAGAAGACATTGTGTCCTTCTGATGGAAGACTTACTGGTCTCTGTTATGTCCTGCTTGAGAATACACATTTGTGTTCTCCCAGGTTGTTTGGTATTAAAAATTAATTAGTATGAATTGTCTATATATGTCCATGCTTTGACATAGCCTTAATATAAAGGTTCCGCTCGATTTTACCTCTTGGCAGAATATTTTAACCACCCCGTTTTAAGGTTCTTGTCTAGGTTCCCATCGTAGGTGTCCCGACCGATGTTATGTATTATAAAATTGGAGGTATATAATTTTTGGCTACCACAAACACTCATATTGCTTTTCAGAATTGTAAAAGGGTCCCGGGGAATTTCGGAGACCCATATCTCAAAAAGTATGGATTTATTTGATAGGAATATTATATTTTTGTAATCAGAGTTTCAAATGTTTTAAATAGACACCCATATTGACTCAGTGATTTTTAAAAAATCAAGAGAAAATTCAAGGGTCCCAAAGGAGCTTTGGAGGTATATATCTCCGGAAATACATATTTCCGCAAGAAAAAAAGGGCCCCTAAACTAAACTTGTTCCATATTTGTATCCCACATGGAACCGTTTTTCCTCCTTGAAAGTTTATCCTAAAAAAATTAAAATTCGCCCATTAAAAATTCTTTATTTCATTGTGAAATGATATATTCTATAAGCTCTAGTAATATCTTTGTAGATTTTAGGTTTCCAATATATTTTCAATCCATTCCAAATTAAAAAAAAAAACTCTATATATTTTTATGTCAGTATGTTAGGGACAAACTCTTAATCTTCAATCTCTCCATTAACAGCAATAAAAAACATCGCACATGTGCATTTTTTTTATTTTTCAAGGTAAAGGCTATTTTTAATTTATCGCCATGACCACACCACATGAGACACCGGTGTCTCGTTTCTTTGCAATTGGGTGGGAGTTTTCGTTTTCAAGCGGCATTTGTGCATGTTGTCCATTTTATGGTTCGCTGAATAAATAAATAAATTATTTATTTCTTTAATGGCAAACATGATTTACAACTATTCGAATGACTTTATTAATGGGGGGTATGAATGGATGTGCCGTTGTATGTTTTAATTTAGTTATTGTATTTTGTATGTATTTAATTTCATGTTATTGTTTTTATTTTTTCTTGTATCAATTCAAATGAAGTTAACAAATTTGTGAGAAAACAAGAAACGACAGAAAACATGACTTTGCGTTTTTTTTGTTCGCCAGTTTTATTTAAATTAATTATTATAATCTTCGGTTTGACAGGTGAATATATCAACGCCCTCTTTTTTAAAAAGGAATTGTTTGAATTTATCTTAGTCGGGTTAAATGAAATCAATTGATACAAGATTTATTTTGTATATAAAGTGTAAAAAAATATTACATATAACCCAACTATCTTCTTATAAAGAGGTTACTTTTCTGCATCATGTATTTTGTGATTTTTCACACAAAAGTATTGACCCTTTTGAACCACTAAATAAACATGTCTAAATCTTGATGTTCGGGTCAGAATTGTCTCTTCCAGAGTAATCGGAAAACCCACAAAATGAAGTCTTTGGCCAGAACCGAACCTACATTTAAAAATTCGTGACGATTGGGCCATTACTACGACCAGTACGTTGATTATAACGGACGAATGGACACACAGAGCTAAATCGATGGGACTATGACCAATATTTCATAGTGCTACAAACTCTTGGAGCCATACAAAATTTAAATTATAGGGTGTAAAAATGTACGCTTATGCTCTGAAACCCCCATTAAAAATCCTTCAAAATGTTCTTAAAAAAACATTTTTGAGAAAATATTCTAAAAAAGTAAAAAATATGTAAAAAATAAAATTTGTTTTTAAAAATTGAATCTTAAATCCCTGAGAGTCTTTAAGAAAATGTAAAAAGAACATTTGACGAAAGTATGAATAAACCTACGCTCTACTAATACTTATGATTGTCTTTGAGAAAATGTTCTTAATATAAAAATATTCTTAATTAATTGGACCAGGTTGAACTTCGTATACCCTCAACATTCAACATAAGTGGAAGTTGGCTTTCCTGGTATATTAGTAATCTGCCAAAAAACCCCGTTAAAAAGTTTATAAAATAAAGTCATCAGAAATGGTGCACTAAACTCCCAAGATATGTTCGATTGACAAAACATTCTGCATAGCGTACTGAATGGTGTTTAGAATGGCGTGTGTTAAATTTCTTTCAAGTTGAAATTCAGATTTTGATATAGCTCCCTTAAATATGTTCATCCGATTTTAGGTAAATGATACATTAAACTACCAATGTTTATCCGATTAAGACGAAATTGGGAATACCATACCATATTGAGTATATAATGATGTGTGCTAAATAATGACGCATATAGTATTTAGTTTATATCTGTATATACCCAAAGTGGTGAATGGTATCAAATAGTCGAAAACAAAACATTTAAATTAAATGTACGCTTATAGATTTAAAAGGACTTTATAATATTAGAAAAATGCTCGTACATTAAAAAATAGACATGAAAATTCACTATTATAGTTCTAATACTCTTTGAAGTAGTTTTCCTAAAAATTCTGATAGTCTTTATGAAAAAATTATTAAAAAATTCACGCTTATATTTCTGATATTATTTAGTCGTACATATGTATGTATCTGATGTACCTTAACAAACATTTAAAAAATAATCTCTAATATAACTCCAATCACATTCCTTAAATAATCTGATAGACGCCGAATAGACTTTTTAAAATAATCTATGTTTATAGTTCTGAACAAGTCAAAAAGCGTTAAGTTCGTCCGAGCCGAACATTGGATACCCTCCACCATAGTTATACTGGTAGATGCTTGAAATGAAAATATAGGGAACATACCAAAAAGTGAACCTATACCGATAATTCTAAAAACCGCTTTATGTAAACCATTGTGTACAACAAATACAAATTTCAGGAATTTTTATGAAAATCCCAAAGCGTAGATAACGCATGGTAGAATATACAATCCTCAAACTTCTGCAATTTAGATTACATACTGAAGGAATTAGCGAATATTTGGGGTTGTAGTTATATGAGGGCTATGCCTAACCCAATATTTCTGTTTTGTGTCTCAATTCTTTCCTTCAGGAATGCTGGCCTAAGTATTTCATTATCGTCAAGTTCGAGTTTTTTATCACGATTTCCTTAGAAAGCGGAATGATTACAACCGATGGCTAAATCGTCTTAGAACAACAAAATATCGAAAATTGGGCGATATCCTTATATGGGGGCTATGCCTAAACGTGGGCCGATATAGCCCATCTTCAAACTTGACCTGTCTACAGACAAAAGATGACTCTATGCACAATATTGGCGATCTATCTCAATTCCTTCAGAAGATATCGTGATTACAACAGACGGACGGACGGACATGGCTATATCGTCATAGAATTTTACCCTGACCAAAATATATTTACTGTATAGGGCAGGAAATTAATATATATAAAAATACATAATATAAAAAGTGGAGGGTATAAATAAATATTAAATATTTTAAAATACATGTTTATAGCTTCTTTTTTATTTCAAGCTTATATACAAAAAAAGCTAGCTGTAACGATCCTTGAAAATTTAAAAAAAATAAATAAATAAAATTTGTCTTAATTCGAAAATAGACAAAAATGATAGTCATTAAAAAATAAAATATTTTTTGTTTATTCATAAAATAAAGAAATATCCTAAAAAATTCCTTTTATATTTCCGATACACTTTAAGAAATTTTCCTTAAGCAAACTAACAAATCTAAGAAGATTTTAAAAATTTTAATTAAAAAAACTATCCATAAAAGCCACGCTTATACCTATTAAAATCCATTTTATACAATCTTCATTTTATAAAGAAAATAATCTGGAAAAAAACGTATTCTTAAAAATTTCCTCTTCATTTCATATTCCCCTTCATTAAATAACAAAAAAATATGTTTCGTTCTTAAGATCTAGTCATTCAAATGAGAAAAACAATAAAAGATTTATGATCAATAATAAAAATACCCCGATTCTAGAAAATAAGATAGAATATATTGTTAAACTTTTTCTATGAAAGCTAATAAAATAACAAAATGAAACATAAATGCTGTGATGATTAATAAATCCTAATTACAACTGAAATGTGCCACACGAGTTGATGAAAACATAAAAAAATAAAACAAAACATGTTTGTGTCTTAAGTCTTTTGTTTTCCTAGCCAACGCTGTGGAAAAAAATACATTAACAAGTTAATGATGTTATTTGATGGATGTATGCTGATGTGTATTTTTTGTTTTTAATTTTAATTTCAATAGATTTGAATATATTTTACGTTCTACATTTTTGTGTCTGCGTAAATAAATGACGTTGATGTTAATCTCTTCTTCTTGTTTTTTGTTTGTTTCGTTTTCGATTTATTTCGCAGTGGTCTCATACACACAAGCCTCATTTCCATATTATGGCACAAAAATTGGCGCATTAAAGCGATTACATCATGGCGTTTCCGGCGATGTCTATGCCGTAGATTCCAGAACAATATTTGTGAAAAAATTCAATTATGATGGTGAAGCACCAGGTAGGTAGCAAACAAACCACGAATCAACAAAACAAAATAATAAACACAACAACAAAAATGCGTATCTGACAATTAATCTTGTTTTTGTTTCTTTTTTTCTTCTGTTTATTAAGCTGCCTATTTTTATGTGGGTAGCACTGGTAAGCCAAGTGCTGTTAGTGGCACACGCCTTAGAGACGAACGTGGAGCTACTGCCTCCCTGACAAAACGTTATCGCAACAAGGATATAACACTAACCCTGCCTGAGGGTATTTCTCTCAAGGACATTAAATGGTTTTCGGTGTGGTGTGATGAATTTGCCGTGAACTTTGGAGATGTTACCATTCCCAATAATTTGGATTTCCCACGGCCACAAAAACTTACAGGATTGGCTGGTGTCCATGGTGTAAAATCGGATCCCATTGTTGTGGTCGATGCCCAGACATTGTTGGTGCCCAATTTCAGTTATGATGGTGAAGCACCTGGTAAGTTGGGATAAAATAATAGTATAACTGGGCTTGGGAAATATGGTATTTGCCAAATTCGATTCGAGTGAGTTACAACCAAAATCCTGTTTGATTAATTTAAAAATATAACAAATGTTAATAAAACATTTTTTTTATCGAAATCATCATCAAGGGATTTTAGAGTGACTTACCGGCTTCATATTTCAATTACATTTTACTGATTCTTTTTTCCTTATTCTTCCCTTTTTATAGATGCCAAATTCTGGGTTGGTCAAGGTGATCGTCCCACACCCAACGGCCTACGTATTCCCGATGAAAATGGCAAAGAGAATCCTCTACGTCGTTATGATCACAAAACCATTGTCTTAACTCTGCCCGATGATTTGACCATTTTCGATATTGGTCACTTTGGTGTCTGGTGTGAAGCTTTTACTGTAGATTTCGGCCACATTCGTATACCCAAGCCATTGAATGTTCCACCATCGTTGAAAATGTTGGGTATTAGTCCTCAGGTAAAGAAACATGCCAATGCTATACTAAATAATTTAGATGTTTAGAAATGATGATGAGCAAATGAATTAACCCAACCACTTGAAAAGTGTTCACACTTTAAGTTTTTAATTATTTAATACAAAAACAACAAATCATACCTAAAAACAAACAACAACAAAAACATTATCTAGCATAGTTGATGTGTTCTTTTTTTTTACAAATAACCACTGTGTTCTGTGTGATGATGTCTGACAGCAAGCATTTTACATTTATTTTTTATATTAGTTTTAAGTGAATATTGTTTAAAATGTGCGCCTTTCCTCCTTGTTTTTCCTTTATTCCTTCCTCTATTTTTCCTTTTTTCCTATCCTTTTTTCATTATTTAAATATTTATTTGAAATCTTTTCTCCTTTTTCTATTTTCCTTTTATTTTGAGCAAAAGTTTGATGTTTTAAGAAGGGTGATTAGATAAATATCTTAAAATTAAATTAAAATTATATTAAAAAAAAAACACATAACAAAACAAAACACAGTCCCCCAGAGCAAAGAGAAGGATATTCTGTTTAAAAAAAGTTCAAAATCTAAGACTGTCCTTAAGTCCATCACTGAAATTGAATTATTCGACATGTATGTTATTAAAATCGAGAAAGAGTATTATTTCATGCCTCGAGTTTCAGTTTTCGCCAGTGGACCTGATATCCTCTCTGAAATATTTTTCTATAAGAAGTTTATTTTGTCAACAGAGAACATGTCATTACGCATCACCGATATGACATCTCGAACTATTTCATTGAAATCTTATTTGGGATTCTTTTTGAAATTTTATGGAAAAACTCAAATTTAATTTTGTATTTTTAAATATAAAAAATTAATTTATTCAAAAATCAGTGAAAATGTAGGAATTTTTTTCACAAAAACTCTCGAAGGGAGTAAAATAAATCCACTATTTTTATATGAACTATAGGACTTTATGTAACATGCTTCGGAATATTCAATTTGGGTTTGTTCAAATATACACCATTTTATTGTATGATGTGTTACCATTTTAAATGTAACTTCATAATGTCTCTCTCATAGAAGTCCTGCTTTCTGGCGAGTCACTGTAGATGTGTGTGGCCTAGCGTTTTCCTGGAGGAACACGACACCTTTCCTGTTGGCCAATTTTGGCCGTTTCTGGTCAATTGCTCCAGTTGTTGACAGTAGATATCAGAATTAAGATTGGTCATATGGGAGCAACTTCCAGTCCCAACAAATGTTATAGCAGAACGTTCCTGGACGTTAGTCCTGGTTTGACCACAGTTTGAGGTGCTTCAATCAAGATTTGTGTAAATGGTTTAAAACAGTTTTATTGTAGAATTTTAGCTCCTGGGCGATGTTACGACATGCCGGTCAACTTCGATCATTTCTCCGATTTTATCGACATTTTCGACGGATTTCTTTTTCCCCAACCTAATATTTTTTCCAAATGTAAATCATATTTGGAGATGGAGAATATTGGTCCACTCCTTTTGTTACCTCCCCCACAAAGGTTTAAAGCGATTGTCCGATTACAAAATGTTTACACCGTAATATTTCTTCCAAACTAAAATCATTTTTAGAATTGGAGAATAATGGTCCACTCCTTCTGGTACCTGAAAACGAAAGCAACGAAAATGTAGCTGAAAACGAAAGTCGTAATATCCTGCGAATGGACTATCCCATTTTTTGACCAAATTTTGCACAACGACTATTTTAGATGGAATGATGGAATGTGGACTTATTGGTCCAATCCGTCAAGTACCTCCCCCACAAAGGGTCAAAATTTTGAAAATTTGTAACAAGCCTAGATCAAATTCGAAGGTGGTACCAGTCGGTCAACGCTTACTGATGGACCTTTACATAAAGTGAATATTAAATTTTTCTGTGTTATACAGTCCATCATCTCTGCTACCTCCCCCTCAAATTGTCACAATTATGAAAAATTATAAAGTTAATAAAAAAAGTGGGCGAAATATTATTTTCGGGCGGAACCGACCATACGACACCCTATATAACCACCACTCACCTCTAACTTTTTGTTTGCACTCTCTTGACCAATTAGAGGTTAATAGACCTCTCTCGTACCCTGGCATCTCTTCCAAATTATGGTTTTCCGGAGTAGACCAAAGTCTTGGTTCTTTTTACCGATCAGTTGTTAAACATTCATTCGAATTAGTTGGTCAGATCCAACTAATTCGATCATCGCGACATTTCCGCCCTCTAGTAGGGTAATGGTGGTAATGTTTTCAGTATAACACTCGAATCCGTGTACGTACATCACTCCTTGTGGATATACTGTCAACTGTCCTTCTGGGGTAAAAATATACCCAATAAAATGTTCATTTGAACCGCTAAATATGGACGGATCCCTAAAAGAGTCATGTTTGTTCCTTGGTCAGATCAATTTCTCCGTGTAAAATTTTAAGGCTGACCAGAAAAACAGAAAAAAATAAAGTTTTTCGTCCATTTGATCCCCTAAATAGTAACCGATCTTTACAAAAAAACGATTGGGGTTTTCTTTGGTCAGAACCGGACCTATATGCAAAATTTCGTGACGATTGGTCCATAACTGTAACCTGTAGCGTGTTTGCAAATTATAGGCACACATGCCTAGATCGACACTACTAAAATATGGGTCTAGGACAGTGGTGGGCATAACAAAATTGAGCGTAAGTGTACTGAGTGTAACTGAGAAATCATCATTAAAAACGACTGACGAAAAAAGAGAATGCGCTTTAAACCATCGACACTCAGTAACGGTAGCGTGTATGGCCGAGCATGCCTGGTCTAGGACATTATAAAATCATGAGCCACACAAAGCTATAATACTGTTATATTTAAATTAGTCGTGTATTTTTATAAATTCATAGAAAATGACACTAAACAGTTATTCCGTTATTTCCGGTCTAAAAATTTTAAAAATTTTTTATTTGTTTTTTCTGTGTACAATCAAAATTTTTTCAGCCGCTTCGGATAATTTAAATTTAACGAACAATATTCGGAGTACCTAAATCCTTAAATTAAATTCTGACGAACATTTTGTAAATTCATAGAAAATGCATAAAAATTGAGAATTGGCCGTTCTTTTCCTAAAAATTTTAAAAATCTTCGATATTTGTTTTTTCTGCAATGTCCTTATTACTCAATTAAAATTCCACCCTCTTCCCAAAACTTCAATTTTTGTTCAAATGTCTATACTCCTTCCTTTCCTCTATCCTTTCTATTTAAATACTTCAGCCAAATTCTACCACAAAAAAAAAAAAATATATATATATATATATTTTATATAGTTTAAGATTTTGTTCTACTTAAGTTAATTATTTTATAATTTCTTTGTAAAAAACAAAAAAAAAACTTGTTTTTATGAATAAAGAAAATATTTAAAAAAATGATTAACAAAATGTGTTTGAATATGCAAAAACAGGTTTTATATATAATTTTGAGTTGCCATATGTAGGCCACATATTGTTGGTGAAATTGAAAAGAAATTTTTCTTTATATAAATATATAAAAAAATTCAAATACAAAGTGAAATATATACACACATGGAAATTGGGATACATACACAATTACAGATTATAAGAATTGCTATTAAAAATGTCTTGCTTGCATTTTTTTGCCTTTCCTCTCAACACCCATCCACATGCCTGTCTGCTTTAAAACAAATTTCAAAAACTATTACTAATAACTACAATCAAAACTTTTTTCCTACGGTTCATTACTTTTCGAAAAACAAACAAAAAATATTTTTCTAAAATTCCATTTTGGCAAAAAAAAAAAAACACAAAATTCTATTTTCTTTCTTCCAAACATTTATTTCATTTTGTATTTAAAAATTTTAAAATTCAAATTTCATACAACAATAGCAGCTAGTTGGATATCAAAATTATATATAAAACAAAATTTTTTGTATTATTCAAAACATAAAAAAAATATTTAAAAAAACATCATCACCTTTACACACCGACACCCAAAACACAAAATATACATGCCACAAAATTGCATACTACACAATACACTACACCATAGCTAAAGCAATTATCAATTAGCTTAATTATCATAGCCATCGTATTGTATTGCATATTGTAAACACGGTTAAGACAACATCAACTAACCATTACCACTATTATCTTTTGTGTGTTTTTAACAACCAAGCCTTTTTCATTTTATGTTTTGCATCTGCATGTTATTTGTGTTTCATTTTTTTTGTATTCAGTTTTATTTGACTTATTTATGATCCGACCTGCCGCAAGGTTTGTTCAAAAGGTGTCATTCCTCGTGCATGCATTCGCATACATTTTGCTGATATCTGTATTCAATTTTTATTGCAGTTTAATTTAATTATTTTGGCAATAAACATTGTCAAGGTGATCATCTTTGCACAGAAATTACCAACCAACCAATCCGCCATACCATCCAAAACATTCACCTCCACACCATTGCAGTGATTGTTTCTTTTATGTTTGTCTTGTGTGGCTGATGTTGTTAACACGTTACCTTTTTATGTTTATTTTATTTATTGTTAACTGTTCGTTTTTTGTTTGTATTTTTTTAATGTTGTACATCTTCATAAAACTACAACTTATTTTGGAGTTTAGTTTGTGTGCTATCTAGATTTACATGTGTTTTTATGAGACCATGACCCATGTCTTTGGATACACAAACATATAACACTACCAATTTATTTTTTTTTTTATAAATTTGGTCAGATTGAAGATTAATTTCTGGCATAGTCTAAAAAAATATTTTTTATCTTTATTATTATGGGAATCCCCCTGATCTCGGTTTCAATAAAAATTTTATTGGATTCGAACCTATAACTCTTAAGATATTGCTGATTTTTTGTGTCAGCGTCAAGTAAACTCGATTTTTTCTTATCCTCTAAGTCTTCAAGCGCTTATATACAATGTAACAAGTCTACAAAATTAATATCGAAAATGGAATCCCCTTTAAAATGAGAAAATTGATAATTCATGGGGAAACATTTGTAATTGATTATTTTAGCTTCTCATTGGGTGTTAAATCTTCCTACCAAACACTTTCCATCATTTTATAAGATTCACAATCGATTTAGGTACTTTGAATGTCCACCTCATTGAGGGTATTAAGAGTTCTTTCGACCGATCATAACGACGTTTTCACCCCTCTGGTGGCTCCCTTTTGAAAATTTTTAAATCAAATATCAATAAAACTGATTATCCGATTTAGTCCAACGTTATGCTTTAACCGAACTTAGATCAAGTCAGAATTCATCGGTCAATTTCCTCTGAAATCTATCCCGCAAAGTGTAGAAATTTAAAAGTCTAAATCTAATATCTAGTGCATGGAATGTCCAATTACATTCTCACTGTATACATACATGGTATTTTTATACCAAACGTAGATCGATGGTGGAACCCCACTCCCACTGCTACCTACCCCCTGTGAAATTTGGGAATTTCATGTAGATCTTATTATACCCTTCACCACACTGTGGTACAGAGTATTATGTCTTTGTGCATATGTTTGTAACAGGCAAAAGGAAACGAGATAGACCCATGGTTCCTTTCGAGAATATGCATACAATCACTTTCTGAGTCGATTTATGCATGTCCGTTCCTCCATCCGTCCGTCCGTCTGTTGGTGTTAAATTGTAAACAAAGTACAGTTCGCATTTATAATCCGATTCGGATGAAATTTGGCACAGCTTATTTGCTTGGGCCAAGGACGAACCCTATTAGGAAAATCGGTTCAGATTTAGATATAGCTCCCATATATATTTTCGTCCGATTTCAGGCAAATGGTGCACCAAAGTCCCTATATATCTTTCGATTTGCACCAAATTTGACATAGCGTACTGAATTTAGTCCAGAATGATGTGTGCCAAGTTTCGTGAAATTCGGTTAAGATTTAGATATAGCAACTTATATTATAGATTGATTTTAAGTAATTGACGCATCATTTAACCAATATATCTATATCTGATAGGAACAAAACGTACTGAAATTAGTATAGCCTAACCTGTGACTAGTTTCGTTGAAATCGGTTCATATATATTTTCGCCCGATTTTAAGCAAATTGGACATCAAACTTCTCATGTTAGTCAGATTGACATCAAATTTTGCACAACGTACAGAATTGAGTATAGAATTACGTATTTGCGTTTTCTAGAAGTACAGACGTAGCGCAACGGATGACCTATTGATATTTGTTTGTAGTCGATTTTCATACCTTTGTCCCATTGTAACAAACGAATGACATGTTTATGGATATATTCACATTTAGATAACTTTCACATATTTTATTAGCCTAAACCTAACATTTTAAAATAGTTGTACTATCCCTAGATTCAGCGCAACAATCGGATATATAGGTCCATCATCACTGGTACCTACCCAGAAGAGTCAGTATTAGTGTCACAGGCAGATGGTATATATCTGTCGACCACACCAACTGACGCGGTAAAACTGGTTTGTTTCGTGGGAGTCAATTAACTGACATTTTAATGGCGCCCAACGTGAGGTTGTGAGCTTCATTAGATATATATTTTGGGCAATGTTTTCATCTCGCGAATTCCCTATATAAGTGGACACCATTTTTTACTTAAAAATTCAATGGATTTAGTTTTTATACCCGACATGATTTAAATAAGATGAAATTTGGTAAAAATATCTTTTATTTGGCCCAAGCATCAACCCTATTAAAATTGGTGAAAATCTGCTCAGATTTAGATTTAGGGCGGGACATTTAGATACAGCCAATATGTTGTTATAAACGATTTCGACTGTAGTTGTACTTTCCTCCGATATCACCAAAATGGTGCACCAAAAACTCCACGTTTGTCCGATTGAGAGAGAATTTTGCACAGTGTAGCAGCAAGAGCCTAACAGGACGCGTATTAATTTTTGTTGAACTCGGTTCAGATTTAGATATAGCTTTTATATTTATTTTCGATCGATTTTAACTAACTGTTGCGGCAAATATCTAAGAAGTGTCCGATCATTACTATATTTTGGACGATGAACCATATTAAACATATAATGATATTGCTCCAATATCTATGTTCGAACAATTTAATTTATATGGTTCACCAAACACCCAAAATTTGTCGGATTGCGACTAAATTTCAAGATAGGCACTGAAGTAAGTCTACAATGTCGTGTGGTAAGATCCAGATCACATATTTAATTTCGACCGGTTTCATTTCAATGGTGCACCAAAGATGATAATCTGTCCCGTCGACATGATATTGTACATATACAATGAAATCATTAGAGAGGAAAATTTTCAATTTTTGTTTGGACAAAACAAAAGCAACTCTTCAGTACAAATAGATGAGATCAGTTCGTACTGATCAACAAATTTCGATAGCAGTAAAATCATCAATTTTTGAGTTCAACGTCGTTCCATATAACCTCAAGAACAGAGCCTGGACATGCTATCGTAGCAGGATACTATCAATAAAGGATTACATTGGGCTTCTTATAGATTAAATTCCTTGCAGGTGTGCTACCGTAATAAAAAATAATATATATAATATCCTTTCCTTATTTGTTATTTCTTTCGTTGGTTCTTCGTGCTTGAGAATATACAAACTTTGACGTTTGTACCATGTTAATGAAAAAAATAAAGTTTGAATGAACAAATAATGAGGTATGGTGCAGTATGTGTCTTAAGTCTTTTGTTTTTATAGTTAGCCTTATCTGTAACCTGGTTGTCTTCTCCACAAATTACACAATGGGTTCTACTTTACTATTAACTCATCTTATTGTAGTTTACTAACATTTAATTGGACCAATTTTTTAAAAACTTTTTTATATAATATTCGAATATTTTCCAATATCTAATTAATTTTTTCTTTATTATTACTTCTTATAGTCAAAACTAAATTGTGAAGTATTATATGACGATTTGGCATTTGAAGTCCGTTGGGCCATGGCTGGTGATAGCATTGTTGTGCAATTGGTTTCCAAATTGGGTAAGTTGACAATGATATAATATTAAACACCATATTAAATTTATACTTACACAATACTTGATATATAGCAAAAATAAAACAAAAAACATTTTATAACAAATTGAAGTCCAATAAAATATATTGGCAAATTTGTGTTAATTAATTAACACAATAAAATTAACGCATTTGTTGCCAATTTGAATTAATTCAATTTATATTATAAAACCAAATAACAGCTGGATTCCTTATATTGGCCACACTGTCACATAAGTCCATACGAGTACGACTACTGGTCGTAACAAAGTAGTTTTGTCTCTGCTACTCTTTTCAATAAATTCCATTAAAACAAGTCCTCCTCACATAGTTGACAACATTTCAAACACACGCATACATACATATTCTAGATTGATAAACATCATCAGCATCTGTAAAATGAATCCAATGAAAGTATCGAAATTCCTCTTCTACTGCTTGCAATTTATTTCACACACCATAATTGGTGAATTGCCAACGAATGTTGTAGAGTTGTGGCAGTGGCAGTTGTTGCTACTACTGCTGCCTACCTGCCTGCAGCAAAATATGGCAACAAACTTGAAAGCAACATTCCAAAGTGTGCCAATGAAACAATCTATTGCTACTGTTGCTCCGTTTATTGAACTTCAGCAAATAGATTTTTGTTCATTTAACAGGTTATAACAACCATCGAACCATCCTTCATCCATTTGACCAATGACTGACTAGAAACTAGAAATCACCGTAACAGATTAACACTGCACCACAGCAACAACATCAACTAACACAGTTAACAGTTAATGGTAACACCAGCAATCGTCTAAATGGTATTTCTTGAAGCAGCAAACAAAAAACCAGAAGCATGTATCACCTTATACTTATTGGTGACCAAACGACCGGAATGTGTAAATTAAACCACCAAACACTCTGAATGACCACATTTATTCCCTTGGTGTGTTTAGCACAGCAGCAGCAGCACACCAATGACTGAATGACTAACTGGCCTGCATCACGAAAATCAGAAAAACCAGTAGCCAGTCAGTCAGCCAGCCGGCCATATAGCCACTAATGATAGAGATGTTGTCATAATAGCCTCCATAAAACACCTGATTTCCTTTTAAGAATTCTTATTACGGTATGCCATGGCACAGTGTTTGGCACCACAATGGGAGTCGAATGGAATGTGGTTGCAATCAAGAGATACATTTTGACTTGATAAGAGAATACATGAAATGAGTGTGGTGTAAGGAATTCTTAGATAAGACTAGGAATTAATTAAATAATGAATCCGTATCAATAAATAGGAAATTTTTGTAAAAAAAATTGGATTAATCGAGCTCAAAATTGGATAAGTGAAATTGGGAAATAGGCCACTAATTAATTTAAAGAAGATAAATATAAGTAGGAACTATTAATACAAGCATAGAAATATACATTTATAAACGACAAATTAAAATTATCCTCATAGGTAGGTGAATAACTCCACCACATGGCAGGCAGTTGGACATACATTTAAGGCAATCAAGGAGTGTTGTGTGCTCTAGAAAGGAACAAGTTAGAAAAAACTGTATTTTGTTCTACCTATAATTCTAGATACTCTTCTTAGTGAAGTCCTTCAGTATTTTCCATTCATACCCCCTCATGTTATTTAGGTTACTATTCATTTCCCAAGAGTTGGATCTGAAGGTTTGCAAAAGCTAGAAGGTGGCATCGGAATTGTTCCAAAGTTCCCCGCAAGATCTACACTTTCTGTTCTGGATGCATCAAACATTGTGTAAACATGCCTGTGATAATACCGTTTGTTAAGCATTAAGATATGAATCGATTTTCAACTAATCGCTTAATCGAATTTTTGCATTGAAAAGTCAAAAAGTTGAAGTCGACTTATATGCCTTTTGATCTGGGGCATCCACATCCATTCTCACAAAAGTTTTCGCTGCAGCTCGATAGTCTGACAATGCCGATGTCCGATGTGCCATAATCCGAAATATTTTCTTCAAACTGGATTTAATTCGTGGCCTTCCCCTTCTGCGTGAGCCATCGGTAGGCTCGCTTTTATATGCCTTTTGATCTGGGGCATCCACATCCATTCTCACAACGTTTTCGCTGCAGCGATATGCACCGTCAACGCAGATCAGCCCATAGATCTTTCAGATAATTTTACTTTCAAACACTCCAAGAGCTGTCTCATCTGCTCGCGCAAGTACCCATGCTTCAGATCCATATAACAGCACGGGTAGTATCAGCGTCTTGTAGAATGAGAGTTTGGTCTGGCGGGAGGTGGTCTTGTTTCTAAAATGCTTACTTAGACCATAGAAGCATCTGTTGGCCAACTAGTCTGAATCCTCGTTCGGTATTGAAGGACTCCGAGAGGTCATTTCCTACTTTAACTGCTGACATTGTGCCAATTAGTTATCCTGTATAGCCGTATTAATTTTGCAGGAATGTCGAACGCAAACATGGCAATAAACACTCTGTCCAATGCGGCTTCATAGTCGACGAATAGTTGGAATGTGTCGATATGTTTTCCGTGGGTCTTTTCCAAGATTTAGAGAGTGAAAATCTGGTCAATGGTGGATTTACCAGGTCTGAAGTCGCATTGATATGGCCCAATAAAGTCGTCGGCCCTTTGCTTCAGTCGTTCACACAACACATTGGATAGTACTTTATATGCGACGGATAGGAGACTTATTCCTCTATAGTTGGCACATATCGGCTTTGTCTTCTTTTCTGTGTACAGGACACAGGATTCTGAGGTTCCAATCATTGTACATGTATTGCTCTAAACAAATTGTACCAATCAGTTGGTGCATGCTCCTGATCAGACGGCTTTTAATAGTTCGGCTGGTAATCCATCGGAACCTGCTGTTTTATTATTCTTCAGCCGATTATTTGCTACTCTGACCTCATCATGGATAGGTGGTATACACTCTATACCGTCATATATTATTGGTTCTGGGGTATCCTCTTCACCGCTTCTATTTGATACCAGAAGTTTTTCCAAATGCTCCTTCCAGATCCTCAACACGATGTCTGTATCTGTAACCAGGTTTCCTTCTTCATCTCTACAGGAGGATGTATCTGTAGAGATGAAGCTTTCGGTTTGTTGTTTTACTCGTTGGTAAAATTTCCGGACTTCGTTCTGACTCCTGCACATCTCGATTTGGTCCCGCTCATGTTTTCCTTATTCTTTCTTTTTTTCAGCAAATACGTTTCTCCTCTCTCCTTTTCTCCCGATAGTTTTTTTCTATTTATCCCATATTTCCGAGCTTCCAAACTACAGAGTCTTCAATTAATGATACCTCAAAACATTCAAATAACTTCAAAATATTAAAATAATAACTTTTCTTATTTTCCTTTCATTTTCAGAGGATAATCACTACATGGCCTTCGGTATTTCCCCCAACAAAGATCGCAGTGTGATGATTGGTTCCGATGTTGTGGTTAGTTGGGTCGAAAAAGACACCGGCAAGGGTTATGCTGTCGATTATTATCTCACCGATAAATCACAATGTTCTGGACGTCGTGGTTCATGTCCCGATGTAAATATCCAAGACAACACCAATTCGGTGCGTCTACTCAATGCTGCCATGGTTAATGGCTATTCAATTGTCACCTATCAGCGATCATTGAATGCTACCGATAAATTAGATTTACCTATTTCCCGTAATGGATTTGAAGCTATCGTTTGGGCTATTGGACCTCTAAATGAACGCAATGAAACTTCCTTCCATTCACATTTCAATAAACATACACATTATATTGATTTTGGACGTCAGCCAACATGGAATTGTCCCACGCCAGAGGGTACCACACCGGAACCCAGTACTGATGCTGACGATGATGAGGATAGTGTAACTCCGGGCAAGGGTTATCCAGCAGCTGGTAAACCTAGTGGAAATGGCCAAGTTGTACCCGAAGAGGAATTCTATGATAACAATCGTGCCCAGGCTTTGCAGAGTGCGAACCGTAGAACTCAAAATGGTGGTAATCAAGTGGCTCAACGCAGAACTGTGCCCACACCTAAGCCTGTGGCAAATGATGTCGGTGCCTGGGAAATACCACCCATTCAATGCTATGAACCTGAGGATGGTGTTTTCTATGCGCAAATGGGTCCCACCGGTGGTAAACATGGTTATTCGGCAATAACTGGTAAGGAGGTGAAAGGAGGCATTTTGAAGTTGTTATTTTCTAATTCCCGGTTTTCTTTATTGAAGGTCACGTTGGCTGGGGTATTTCATGGTACATTAATGGCCTCTTGATTCCCGAAATCCATGTGGTTCGTGGCAAGACCTACACCTTTGTGGTGGAAGGTGGCAATAACCCTGATATCCCTGCCAAATACCATCCCTTCTACATTACCGATGATCCCGTCGGTGGCTATGAACACAAGTTGGAAGAAGAAAAGAAGGTAGGATGAGTTTCACGGATAGAATAAATTATTAATGTTGGTATTTTTTTCCAGAATATTCGCATCTTTGCCGGTGTCCATCGTTCACGTTCGGGCCAAGTAACACCTACAGGTGTTGGTCGCCTATGTAACTGGACACCCGATGTTGATGGTCCCCCAGCCGATGATTATCAATCCTTCGGTGCCTATCAACGTACCCTTTCCCTTAAATGTGATCCCGGTGAGCCTGGTGTCATTACCTGGAAACCAGATCGCAATACCCCCGACACCGTCTACTATCACTGCTTTACACATCGTTATCTCGGTTGGAAGATCCACGTGCACGATAGTTGTGATGATGCCCGTTACGCTGCTTCCCAAAAACATTCGGTACGTGTACCAGCTCCTGTGCGTGCGGATGATGAATTGGAGGCCGAAGAATCGATACGTCATGAAACAAAGGTCAGCCCCAACGAAAATTTTTTGTTAAAGCACCAATCAGATTTAATTAAGAATCACAATATGAACGGAACTCCGCCCAAATTATCATTTGAAATAACCAAATCAACGGAAATTACTAAATTGATTTCAGATGGCATCCGCGCTGCTGAGGCTCTCGAGGATAGCATATTGAGGCAAAAACATCAACAGCAACAGAAACAACAGCACCAACAACAACAGGTGGCGCCAACAGCGAGTGGAGAGCAGCCAGGTGAACAACCACTGGGACCGGTGATGCTGAACAACCATCCAAAAGTAAAGACTCCACCTTCCCAGTCCAAACCATTGGGACCACCACCCCAGCCACCGTTCATACCCACAGCTGCACCGGAGACCTTGCATGGCGAAACTAATTTACATAGCAACAATTATAACTCACCTCCATCATCATCATCCGCCGCACAGTCACAATTATCACCATCATCATCATCTGCACAGTCACAATCATCTTCACCATCCTTAGCTTCGGCACCATCATCATTATCCATTAGTAAACACCCATTGACACCGGCCCTAATGGCCACACAACACCTTAACCCCAATACACAGTTGCACATGGCCCATCACCATTTGGGCCCACACAATTTAACCAGTAATTTACCTCCACAGAAAACCATTAGTCTATCGGAGTATTTAAGGCCACCGTTTAATGCACCGATCTTTCATCCAGTCAAACTACCAGGGCCAAGACCTTTTCCAGGGCCTTTAAAGAAATTGCCAGGTTCTAAGCCGATATTGCCACAACATTTGCCAAGACATCCACCTGGCAGCCTTGGAGGAGGAGGAGGTGTTGGTTTGATGATGCATGGTAATGGTCCGATACCTCAACCCTCGGTCATTGTCAATCATTATCGTAAACCGGTACCCACGCTGCTGAGACCATTTTTCAAAGAAAATCCCTTTCCCCTACAACCATTGGCAGCCTCGGTATTACTACTGGGCCAGCCCACAGAACTTACCAGTCATCGCAAGACCGATGGACATCACAAGAAACCCATTATACCAGTACCATATGGCGACTTAACACCACAAGGATCCTTACAAAAACCTCTCCTTACGAAAATGCATGGAGAGAAGATCAAGCCTCATCAAAAGATTCCACATCCCGTGGAAAAAGTGAAACCCTATGATATACCCCTGTTAATATCCTCCACCACAATTGTTACACCCACCATGGTTAGTGATCTAAATCCTGTGGGTGTGTTCAAGAGTCCTTTTGATGTCCATGAAGTGGCGGAGGAACCCTCAGCCGCTGAAATTGCCTCAATGAAACCGGCCGTAAATGAAGGTTTCAAACCCGATACTGTGGTAGTGGAAAGTGGTTTCAAACCCATACTACGACATGATGGACCCATGCCACCTCCCGAAGTTGTAGAACAAATTGCAAATCGCAGAGAAGATCCTGGTTTGGAAATTGATGAAGCCATGGAATCGGATACTCTATTCCTTACAGCCCAGTCTCAGCATACCCAGACGCAGCATTTTGAACCAATGTTTATACCCTCACCACCGGATAGTACCAATGCCACAATAATTATTCGGAAATCTTCCGGCTTACAGTTACAAACATCACAGAGTCCTACAAGTTTGGCACAAAAGGATCCCATTTATACTCCACCTCAAGCCATAAGTTCACATTTGAAATCAAGTTTGAAACCCGAGGCAGCTAAACTTAGGAATGCCACCCTGCAGGATATACTTAATGAGGATTCGGATGAAACGGAGGCGGAATTGGAAATCAAGGAAACTTCACAAAATAATCTGGAGGAGATTCCATTAGTTCCACTGCATCATAAATTGACAAAGACAAATGTGGCGCCCAATCAATTGGAAATTAAAATGAATAAATCTTCTAACACGGAAACGAAGAAAAACACTGACGAAGAAGAAGGGGACGATAAGGAAAATGGAAATCAATATGATAACGAGGAAGAAGAAGATGAAGAACTGATGAACAATGAAAAGGAATATTCGTTGAAATTAAAATCGCCATCTAGTCCAAAACCTGAAATAACCCGAACTACCAGCAGCCCAAGTACTATCAGTACCAGTACTATAAAAAATACTCCCCCAACACAAAAACCCTTTAATCGTTATAACAATCAACATTTGGATGATGTCAGCATGGACGATGAGGATGATCTGGATGAAGAAGAGGAACAACAACAACACAAATTTGGGCCTAAGGATAACATAGAGGATTTATTCGATTTGAATGAAGGCGAGGAAGACGACCATTATCTTGGCCGAGAACCTGAGGCCCAAGCTGCCGAACGTATTGAGGCTTATTATTTGCCACCCGATAATAGTAGATCTCCTCCTCCAACGGATAAACCCAGTAATGGGGCTGTCATTACCTATGATGGTAAATCGGTGGTTGATAGTTCTTTGGTTTTACCACCCAAATTGGATGCAGGCAGTGATGGCAGCAATGAGGACGATGAAGAATATTCCTCGGCACGTTTCTTTGGTCGCAATCAGGGCCGGGGAATTTCTAAACTTGAACAGCTTATACGGAATACACCACAATTTGTACCATTTCGTGGTGAAATACCGCCACTCAGTCCCGATTTAAGCCCCGCCTCAGTTAGTCAACAAAATGCAAATCCTGCCATATTACCGGCTCCGCTAACCTCACCCTCCTCCTCACGCCCCAGTGCCACAAAATTACAATTGATAAATAACAATAAATACAAAACATCATAGATCGGATCGGTGCATTACTAACACGCTCACCCCCATTCATTTACATACTTACTCACATGAACTTGCAACATTCTCCAAAAACAAACCACAAGAGGCATTAGTTTCGAATTTTTGTTTTTTTTTTCTATCTCTCTTTTTCTATTTTTAGTTGAAATAGGTCCGTCACCCACCTAAAAATAATAATCCCAGCATCTCCAAACCACCACCTACTACTACTCTCTAATACCAAACGCCACCAATAAGTTTTTGTTCGAAACCAAGTAGTTGAATCATTTGCAGCATTAATTCGTTAATCGTTTCGATTTTGTATTTGCCATCATTTCCGAAGGATGTAATTTTAACAGCCCCCAAAAATGAAAAACAAAAACAACAACAATTATTAACAAATTCATTTTATCAATTTGTATATGTAGTCTAAGTTATGTATTTTTCGTTCTCATTTCATCCTGATTTTTTATATGAAACATCTATCCTCCTTTTTATAAAAATTAGTTTTTTATATAATTTTATACGTTAGGAAAAAACGCTATCTCTAAATATAAGAATGTATGTGTGTATATACATGTGCGTTATATATATATATATATATCATCTATATTATTTGAAAAAAAAAAAATAGATGCATATGCGATAAGAATTTATATTTTAAATAAATCTATATATAATCATTGTTATATTGTACAGTGTTTTTCATTTTTCAGGGTGGTAGGTACCACTTCGAAAAATATTACATTCGGCGGACGGACTTCTTATATTTTCCACATTGAGGATAACATTCAAAATATCTGAAATTTCGGGGATCGATATTGATAATTTTTGGAAGCGAACTTTTACAGCCAATGAGAAAACAAAATTACAGCCAATTCGGTTAAAAACGTATTAAAAACACCGACATGGCTCAATATTAATAATACAATATATTATTACGAAGATGTGGGTACCGTTATATAGGGGGCCTACCCTCAAACTTGGTTCGATATAATAAAATTTTAGCACAAGGATGTGCTATTAAATGATAACCCAAAATACCAATGGTTGAAAACCCTGTCCAAAATTCTGAATATTGGAGGGTAACGTTATATGGGGACTATACCAAAACGTGGACTGATATATCCTATTTGCAATACCAAACAACTCAGAAATGCTAACAATGTTCGAGCAAAATTTCAGAGCTTCATCTTAAATATTGCGATCTCCATCGTAATTTCAACAGATAAACAGACAAACGGAAAGGCATATATCGACATAGAATTTTATTTGTGGGGTCTTTGCTGAATATTTCTAGGTGTTGCAAACTGAATGACACACTCCACCTTATTGTGGAGGGTATAAAATATCAGGACCTTTACATGGAAGCTACGTCAAAACATGGTCTTCTTTGGAAATTATTCTGCAAAGATGTTTCTCACCCTCCAAGGTCCCGGAATGCCACTTCGGTGGGGAATTGCAGCCAACACCTTAAAACTACAGAATAATTTGTGGCGACCTTTTTGTAAGAACTATGTATGTCAAATATGGACCTATAACCTCCAAGAACTCGGAATCCCAAATTACAGGAACATTGGTTGAATTATGCGGTTAAAATCTCTATAAAATCCAAACAGGGGCGGTATTTTTTGTTAGAGAGCCATGTCAAAACATGAACGTTTTGTAGAAAAATGATTTTCATTTCAAATTATCTTCAATATCCTGATACTACAGCCACTTCGGTGGAGAAAATAGCTAAAGCCATTGAACTAAAAAAATATATGTATGCCTCCTTCCATAGATGTATGTCTCCTTACGGATGGCCGATTTGCAGCCACTTTGGTGTAATTATGCGGTTGAATTCTTCAAAATATCGAAACAGCGGCTGGTATTTCTATCTCAAAGAATATATAACGAAATATTTTTACGGAAAAATATTTCGCAACCTCCAAGAAACCGAAATTTTAAATTACAGCCACTTCGATGGAGAAATTCGAATAAAATTTGTTAAATACCCAAAATAAAACTGGATACGTTATTTGTGGGTTATGTCCAAACATGAACCGAATATTTTCGGCAATAATGTTTTTCATCCTTTAAGAATCCAAAATGTTAACATATTTTTTGCAAACATTTATAAAATTCAATAACAGCTACCAAAACATTCCATAATACGCAATTTTGTCTTATAAAAGGCGCTTATTTGAATTAAGTAAAAAATATATAAAAACTACATCTTTTTAGGTTTTCAATGCCGAAATTTTCATGAAAATCCGTCCATTCGTTGCTGAGATATAGCCATTTGAATTTAAGCTTGTATCAAAATATAGCTGCTAAACAATTCTGTTCGCCTGGTATCACAAATTCAAAAATAGTGATATTTTACATTTTCCAAAATGGCAAAATTTGCTATCAATGTTGCCAGATCGCAGATAGTGTTTCTTTGTTGTTTTATTAAATTAAATTACATAATTTTTATAAGCATACTTTTAGGCATTAGTTTGAAATTTTGTTCAATTTTTTATATCACGTCACAAAATGTACTTTGCATTAGGGAACTATTTTTGCATGATCTGGCAACATTGCTAGCATATTTTGCCATTTTAGAAAATGCCAAATATAACATTTTTTTAATTTGTGTTCTCAGGCGAACAGAATTGTGTGGCAGCAATATTTTGATACAAGCCGAAATTCAATTGATTATATCTCTGCAACGAATAGAGATAATTACATAAACCACTGAAATGCTAGAAAAAATTTGTTTTTACATGTCCCACAACACAGTGTTGGTTTATTATTTAAACGATATTAATCCGTAGTTTCTTTGACCGATATTTATTGAATCAATTTCTGAGTTTATTCAGTTAGGCATGTTCGTCCGTCAAGCTGTCTGTCCTTGACTTAATGGCAATTAAGTACAATATATGATCCGAATGCAATAAAATTTGGCACTGTTCATTTATTTGGCTAAATGATAATCCCCATTGAAATTAATGCAAATCGGTTCAGATTTAGGTTAGCTCTCATATGTATCTTTGTCAGATTTAGATTATTTTATATCCTTCACCACACTGTGGTACAGGGTATTATGTCTTTGTGCATATGTTTGTAACAGGCGAAAGAAATCGAGAAAGGCCCATGGTTCCTTCTGAGTCGATTTATACATGTCCGTCCGTCTGTCCATTTTAAAGTAGTAAACAAAGTACAGGTTGCATTTTTGATTCGAATTGGATGAAATTTGGCACAGCTCATTCATTTGGCCCAAGGACGAACCCTTTTGAAATTGGGAAAAATCGGTTCAGATTAGATATAGCTCCCATATATATTTTCGTCCGATTTTAGGTAAATGGTGCACCAAAGTCAATATATATCTTTCCTTTTGCACGAAATTTTGCATAGCCGTATGAATTAGGTCTAGAATGATGTATCTGAAGTTTCCTGGAAGTCGGTTCAGATTTAGATATAGC